AGTGTAGATTCTGCAACATAAAACAGGAACACATGCCCCAAAGTATAATATATATACCCTATTATGAAAATCATGCTAAACTGCTTGTTTACTCAGCAGTTATCCCAATATCATTTAAAAATCACATTGACCATCCTGTATGATCATATACCATGGGAAGCAAACTGACATAAATTCTGTAGCAGAGGACGCTGAGGATTGTTATATAAGTCACCATTAACACAGATATAAAACATCACATGGTTGATGGCCAGAAATGTTACACTTAGCAGTAGTTGGGTGAAAGTCCCAAAGATGTTTTTTTTCAAGAGGCAACTGGACTTTCTTGTTTTTTCTTTGAAGACGTTTCGCTTCTCATCCAAGAAGCTTCTTCAGCTCTGACTGGATGGTGGGGAATGGAAGGATTTACATTCCTTGCAGACAGCTGGTCATTTGCATTCTTTCAGAGAGTAGACTTGGGTTAAAGAGTACCATGAAACCCAGGGCTATATATTAGGGCCAAAAACAACTGAAACCTTCCCAAAACAATGCACGAGGAAACCACATTCCTATTATTGCAGAGGAAACAAGATGGATGTGTTCATCTAGTTCCCAGGAACGGGATCCATTCAAGTGACTTAAAAGCCTTTCAAGCAATATGTTCAGAACTATCCAGTTCGTTTGTTATAGATCAGTGGTTCTCAACCTTCCTAATGCCGCGACCCTTTAATACAGTTCCTCATGTTGTGGTGACCCCCAACCCTAAGGGCTCTCCAAGCGCACACCGACGCCGCCCACTCACCCACCACGCCCTGGGCTCAGTGCGCCTCGCCTGTCCTTGCCTCACTTCCGAAGGTCGCCGGCCTGGTTGGAGAAGCGCCCAGGTGGGGAGAGGGAGAGAGAGCGAGAGCGAGCGAGAGAGAGAGAGAGCCAAGAGGGCGATAGCACCAGCAGAGCTTAGTTCAGCCTCCTCCGTGGAAAGGGCCGCAAAGCAGCGCAGCCTCCCTTAGGAGATGCTCGACAGAAATGAATCCGGTGCTGCAACGGCCCCCAGCTTGAAGCCGTGCGGAGTCTCGGTTCCTACGACCATCGGAAATATGTATTTTCCGATAGTCTTAGGCGACCCCTGTGAAAGGGTCATTCGACCCCCAAAGGGGTCGCGACCCACAGGTTGAGAACCGCTGTTATAGATAGAGGGAGTATGGCATGCATCAAGAACACAAGTGGGAAATTGACGCCCGTCAGTAAGTCTGTGGGAGATGTAGGTCGAAAAAGTCAGTATGGCAATCTTGACTCCGTGACAGGGCTTTCCACTTCTTTTTTTAACACATGTTGTACATATGACACAGGGGTGGGATATAAATCACATGATCGCTGTTGCTATCCTGACTTTTGAAACCTTCCCTCTCCTGGACACCTCTGCTCCCAAACCTATTCATCGTCTCCGATAATTCTAAGCTCTTTTCATTCTGGACTAGGACTCCTGCAGAAAGCTTGTACAGAGGACAGATAACAATAAAAGTTGCAGTTATATTTGCCTATGAAAAAGCTGCTTCGGATTTAGTCATCAAATATATTTTAAAAAGCAAGCAGAGCAAACACCGTGAGAGTAATATTTCTGCTTTGTTTTTAAAGACTCAAAATATGTTCTTTATGAGTGATACATACTGTACTATATAACTATGAATCCTTTAAAATGTAAGTCTTACATATTTTCAAATGTAATGAAAATAATAATAATAAAAAAATACAAGCTGTTGCTTATACCCCCCCCCCCCTCTTTCAAACTAATTGATGCCCATTTGAATTTCATTGCTATTGGAAAGTATTATGGCCAACCTTTGGTAAATACCACACATAAGAATCACTGCATAAACCATCCAGAAAGTTTTTTAAAAAGTTATTTGTAATATGTGGTAAGTAATCTTGTACTAATGTGTTTTTGCATTTCCATTAAGTGACATATGCAAAATGTATGAGAGATGCATACAAACATAGTTTAATGCTCTTATGAAAACAGATAACATTGTTTTGTCCTTCAGCACTTATAAAGGAAATTTACAATTGAGTAGGCACAAAAGAGTGTAATCAAATTAGTTTCCTGTTAGCTCAAAATATAGCACTTCTTCTTGAGTAATCATTCCATAGAAGTAAAATTATACAATTACACAATGAAACTTCACTGTGGCCTTTAGGGCAGAGAATAAAATAAAACTATAATAAAATCTATAAACTTGTAATTACTAATAAAGCTAAGAAATAGACTTAAAATGCAATCACATTACAAAAAAATAAATTTAGTAATAATTTAGTACATAGTATATAATTTATAATAATAATAATAATAAGTTGGAGTAAGAGGCAAGATGGCGACCTATTAACATGACCCTGCATGAACTCTTGCTGCTTCATTTTAATGCTGTTTAAAACTTATTACAGTGAGGAAATGGCATCTCTTATTACTGTATATCTGTAATTTCCTGGGAGAGAAAAAGAGAAAGGAATTAGACAAAGAAAAGAGAGAAGAGGAAAGGAGGGGAGGAGAGGGGAGGAGAAGGGAAGAGAGGGAGGGAGGGGAGGGGAAGGAATAGGAGGGGAGGGGAGGAGAGGCAAAGGGGAGGGGAGGGAAGAAAGAGAAGAGGAGGGGAGGGAAGTGGAGGGGAAGGAGGGCAAAGGGGAGGGGAGGGAAAGCAAAGGAGAGGGAAGGTAAAGGAAGAGAAGAGGAGGAAAGAGATGTCTGACTCAGAAGAATAGACAAAAGGAAGCAGACTCACAAAGGCAGCACTGGTTCACAGAATTCTTTCCAAGATAGCCATACAATAAAAAAAAACACATCTATTTCTGTTTTGAAAAATTCAACAGCAATAAAAACAGCATCAGAACATGACCAATGCTTTAGGCACTGATAAACACTTATTGTGGTTCAAGTTTTTTTAAAAAAAATATTAACACCTTTTGGAGTTTCCCCAAAAGACTTGAGGAGGATGAACAGATTTTTGGTGAGTGAATTAATTAGTGGTGGAAAGAGCAGTGGAGTACAGACAAATATCAAGGTTGAATTTTCAGGTTTAGTGGTGGCAAACGTGATGGGAGAAGGCCGACGAATAGGCTAGCAGAGGTTCTTGTGTGTGTTAAAGAGTGCAGAGGAAGGTGGGCAGGAAGGGTGTGGAATGTGGTAGATGGAAAGATTTGAGTGTGAAGGAAAAAGGATGGAGAAAGGATGGCCCAGGAGGTCACAGGTTTATAATCAGGGATTGTGATTGTGGAGTGGAGTGGGAAAAGTAAGTGTCCNCTTCTTCTTCTTCTTCTTCTTCTTCTTCTTCTTCTTCTTCTTCTTCTTCTTCTTCTTCTTCTTCTTCTTCTTCTTCTTCTTCTTCTTCTTCTTCTTCTTCTTCTTCTTCTTCTTCTTCTTCTTCTTCTTCTTCTTCTTCTTCTTCTTCTTCTTCTTCTTCTTCTTCTTCTTCTTCTTCTTCTTCTTCTTCTTCTTCTCGTGCCATGTCCGATAACGGACATGGCACGAGAAAGAAGAAGAAGAAGAAGAACGTTGGCAATCATGTTGGCAATCCTGTTTTTATCAGCAGCTGCACGAAAAAATGCTGCTGAGTTTTGTCCAAATCAGTCCCTTAGCTTTTGAAGCCATGATGTTCTTCTTCTGCCTGGACCTCGTTTGCCTTTTTCATTCTTTAGTTTTCTGTAATCCTGCCTGCTTGCTACCATTTTTCTTTTCCAGTTACCGATGCCATGTCTTTTAATTATGTATAGATCTATTGCTTTGATGTTGCATTTTGAGATGTTTGAGGTTTTGGATAGCACTATGATGAAATATATATTTCATTCCCTGTTGGGAAAGCTGAACAGACCACAGATTACCCAACTGAGAATCCTTTTCCATTTCACTGACGGCTCCGGGTGGATCCTTGGGGGTTGTTTGTTTCTGTGGATTGAGAAGGTCTGAGAGCATTGGGGTGGTGGTGGTGGAAGAAACTTAATCCATGCTATATCAGGCCCAGAAACCTTCAGAGCAAGTTATCTTCTCCATTACTCATCTTCTGCTGAGAAAAGGTTCAAGATCTGATGGGGACAGAGTAAGAACGGACTGCTTCCAGATTCTTCTCTTTATTTATTCAGACCGAAAAATGGTTGAGACCAGAGTTGTCTTCATTTCCAAGAACATATGCAGATCTCCAATTGTATGTGCTAGGAGTGGCAAATGCCATACATTTTCACTTGTCCTTATTCTTCCTTTACATTTGTTTTGTTTCATTTCTTGAGAAACGTTCAGCTATGAAAGAAATCTAAAAAAATGCTTTCGCATTCTCTGGATGTTTTCTAATCTGTTCATTTCTGTAAGCTTTTTGATTAATGCAACATTGTTTTATATGGGTCTCTTTCACAAACAGTCATTTTTACAGCACTGTTCTCATATGTATTTTTGCTTTGCAAAGTGTCCTATGTAATTCTCTAAACATAAAAAATAGCACATTTTTATTTAATGTAATAAATAAAATTTATTGTAAATAAATTAAATGTAATTAAATTACATTACAATGTAATTACAAAATTACAAAATGTAATTTTGTCTGCTTTGCATATTTTGAAGGGGAAGAGAATCAAAAAACCATACAATAATGTACTAGAATATATAAAAATATTTTTTTTAGAAAAATCTGGTGAAATAGTGCATTTCATATGTTAGCCAATAAAATTAGGTTTTTACACCCAGAAATATATTGCAATACCATAAGCATGAAATGTTTGATAATATCAGCGTACAAACCTTGTACAATTATGAGAAATGTGGCATATTACTGTGCTGTAAATCTCTAAAATGCTGTGGGATAAAGAATATTCATGCTTCTTAAGTAGCAGAAGAAGCCTATACAGCAATAACCTCTCCAATTCTTTTGGGGAATCTAGACTAAATGTGGCTAAGTGATAATAAAAGAGGTCCAAAAGAAATAATCCACAGACATGACAGAATTGAATTTACCTCAAATGATAACGTCATATTTCTTTTCTAGACCCCAGAAGAGTTAGAAGATGTATCTGACCTTGAAGAAGATCATGACGCCCACAGTCGCACCAGTATTCAGACAGAAGGAAAAACTGATAGGGTAAGTATGGAAAAAACAGGATGCCTACACCCTGTTTCTTTAAATGCTTTGAGTTAAATTGGGAATTATGCCAATATATTACTATCTTCTTCAACCAGTTTCAGTATAACATATTGTTACAGCAAAACAGATGCATAATGAACAGGAAAAGATTGAAAGTCTAAATACTAAGCGGTTAATTAAATTTGCCTGCTCAAAATACAGAACTGTTATATTACACGAGTTTTACTTTGACCAGCCAGCCTAAAAAATGGATATTATTATTATTATTAAGGAGTTTCATAGCCCACTACAAATTGAAATGAGTTTCAAATGATTTTAATATTAGAAGTGCCTACCAGTGGGAAGGAAGAAGTTCATTTGGTGTGGATTTTAAGGAGACTGATAAACTTGCACTCTATGAATTAACTCTTCTGCAATGCAGCAGCCTATATGCTGCATAAAAAATACATACATTAGGAAAAGTTGCATTAATAATAAACAAATTATTATATTAAACAATGTTACAATATACATATATACATACATATAGACACACACACACATAACATCATGCATAATCTGTGATTACTGAGAAATGGAAGGGTATCTTGCAGATAGCTGAATAGGCTAGGTTTTCCATTTTTAAATGGTCTATCTAGACCAGGGGTGTCAAACTTGCAACGTCACATGACGTGTCGCAACGTATCACAACTTTTTTTCCATTGCCAGCAATGGGGTGGGCGCGGTTTCACCATGACGCATCCAGCCCATGGGCCGGCAGTTTGACACCCCTGGTCTAGACTCGAGACAGTCTGTTGCCAGTCTGTTGAACAAGTCCAACAATTTACTTACCTTGGCAGCATTATATCTATTGATGGAGGTAGAGATTAGAATATTAACTATCACATTGGAATGGCAGTGGCTGTGTTTCAACACATGTGCCCAATTTTCTCTATGGTAACCATAAGCATTACCACACTCTTTAAGAGTGTTATTACACCAACTGCTGTATATACTTATGAAACATGGAAGTATACAACCAAGATGATTAAACAAGACTGGCATCCAAAAATTGCACTTTGTTGGATACCTCCTGGAGGAGAGAGAAAATGAGGCCAGCCTCGGAAAATTTGGCACCAAACACTTAAAGAAGTTCTTATGATTATTAATGTCCGTTGGGATGATACCAAAGATGCTACGAATGAGCAAAACTACTGGGAAACACTTGCTGTCCAGTGTGCTCTGCACAGGACCTGATGATGGTGGTAATGATAATTTAGGCAGACTAAATAACAAAACACTCAGGTTTCTATTTTGGTCACCATATCACAAAAAAGATGTTGAGAGTTTGGAAAAAATTCAGAGAAGAGCAACTAAGATGATCAAAGGCCTGGAGGCTAAAACATACAAAGAACAGCTGCGGGACTTGGGTTTGGCTAGTCTAAAGAAAAGAAAAAAATAGGGGAGACATGATAGTAGTATTCCAGTATTTGAGGGGCTGCCACAAAGAAGAGGGGTCACGTTAGTCACCAAAGCACCAGAGGGCAGGATGAGAAACAATGGGTGGAAACTGACCAAAGAGAGAAGCAGCCTGGAATTAAGGAGAAACTTTCTGACAGTGAGGACAATCAACCAGTGGAACAGCTTACCCCCAGAAATCGTGCGCACTCTATCTTGGAGATTTTTAAGAAGAGACTAGACATTCATTTGTATGAGATGGTATAGGTCAGTGGTGGCGAACCTATGGCACAGGTGCCAGAGGCAGCACTTGGAGCCCTCTCTATGGGCACATGTGCCGTTATCCCAGCCTTACCTCCCTCTGCGATCTCCTCCTCACCAGCAGCCCCCTTGGATCTCCTCCTCACCCCCGAGCGTGGCCCACACGGAGCAGCGCAGCCAAGGACATGGCAGCCAGGCAGCATAGACAAGACTCTGCCCTCATGCCCCATCACGCACAGTTGATGCTGTGGGGCACGGGCAGAGGGCGTGGCTGCCATGGCGCTGCTGGGCTGCCTGGGTGATCTGCGGTGGGCCCTGGAGGTGGTGAGTGGCCCTGCGGGCAGACGGGGTGAGGGCACAGTGGGGGCGGGACAGGGGATGGAGCGGGGGCGCGGCCAGTTTTTGGGCACTCGGTCTCTAAAAGTTTTGCCATCACTGGTATAGGTTCTCCTGCTTGAGCAGGGGGCTGGACTAGAAGACCTCCAAGGTCCCTTCCAGCTCTATTCTATTCTATTCTATTCTATTCCAGGATCTGAAGAAAGAACTGGAGAGGGTTTGAAAAGTAAATGGTAGGAGCACTCAGGGCTGTGACTCCTAAGCAGGGAGAGTGGCTCCAATAGATTTTATCAGAGCTCTCTGTCCAGAAAAGTGCAGTTCTAGTGACAGCTGAGATCCTGCACCAAACCCTCTCTTCTTAAAAGAGATTATTTATTCTCTGAAAACTTATAGACTATAAATATTCTTAAACTGCACTTTTGTTATGCCTCACCAACAATAATCTTAAAATATACCAAATAATTGTCACTCCAGTTTATTTGAACAATGTACAGCCCTGTTTATTTAGAAATTACAAAAGGAAATAAAAACATCATAATTGCATATTTAGATGGCTACGACCTGACAATTTGGGAGTAATTTTGTGAAATATAATCAACTCATGCTCCAAATGCTATATCCAAAGTTAAGACACAGTTTTGCTTGCAAGTCTACATTGCAACGTTATTTGAGAGGGATGTATGATGTTAATGAGAGTATCAAATTTTCCTAAAGATGTGCATGATTATTTTAAAAAGCCAAGAAGTCTTTCCTTAGAACAGGGGTCTTCAAACTTGGCCCTTTTATGACTTGTGGACTTCAACTCCCAGAATTCCTCAGTCAGGCTGGTTGAGGAATTCTGGGAGTTGAAGTCCACAAGTCATAAAAGGGCCAAGTTTGAAGACCCCTGCCTTAGAATATAGTTGATTTCTCCTCAGGTTCAGAGCTTTGTGGAGCTCCAACAGCCTCGTGTTGGTCAGTTGAGCTGTTTCATATCTTAAGTCTTTCCAACCTTCAGCAAATTATTTGGTTTATAGAGAAGTCATTATTTTTGAGATACCAGTGTTGCTGTTATTTCTTTTTTTGGCAACTCAGAGCCTACATATTGCTTCTGCTTTTCAGCTTTCCAACTGACTAAGTTCTCCACAGAGTTTTATACCTAATTTTCCCCCATTTCCTCCATTCATAGTCCACAACATTTACATGGCATTTATTTATGTGTATTTATGTATATTCAAATAATACAGATTGCATGGTAATAATTATCAGTGAATACTTGTGATTATAGATATGAGATTCAGTCAAATGCTTCTGGTTGAGCTGCTAAGTTTCCATCTGCAGCCATGTTCTTGAAAAGATATCCCTTTTTTAAGACTTTGTTTTTTAGGTTTCATAGGGTCATTACAGTGTCTTGTTTGTGTTTGGTCATCCCTTCTGTGATTTTTCCCTTGACCAATTAATTGACCATTATTAAATCAATCTGATTTACTATGTGGAATTCATCACAATGCATGGTGATTCCAATTTAGGAGAAGAAATCTTTATTCATTTGACTTTAAAATCTATAATAAATAGCATAGAAATGATACTGAGGAAAACAGAAAAAGTCTGTTTCACTAAAAATTCAAGTATAGTATAATAAAACACAAAGTACATTGGAAAAAAAGAAAAGGAAATGAACAGAATAAGACTGCATAATTTCCCTGAAGGGGGATTTTTGATGTCTTGCTGCTACAGAATATCTGAAAATTTCCCTGTGAAATAGAGACTCTCCTTCAGGAAAACAGCACAGTTCTTGACCATTTGATCTCAGAGCTCCAAACAGGCAAAAAGTGAGATGATTCTTTAAAGTCTTCCTAAAGCCTCTTTACGTTTTGAAGCTTCCTGTCTTTGTTCATGTAATATCCATGGGCAAAACCAGAAATTCATAGATCCTTTCTCCAGATGCAAAGCTGAAAGGGAGAAACTGAATCCCGATCCTTGTTTTTGAGGGAGGGAGCATGTTCAAATAAAGAAATATATGTTATATGAAGGGGGGGAAGTAAAAACTGCTTTTTGTTCTGCAAACATGAGCCTTCGTAAAAAGTGAATCATTTTACTTCAGACTCCCCTAACTTAGAATTCCCCTGTTGGTCATGGATAAATGGAAATATTTTAAGTGGCTTCTAAAGAAATATCTTCCTGAAATTTATCCTAACTGACTTGTGACTGAGCTTGGAATAGGGCCCTATTCAGGCTGCAAATAGAATGAAATATCAGAACAAAAATAAAAACAACATTTTAATCTGCGCTTAAAGTCCTTTGATAAACTATGTAATTCAACCACATGGATGTATCATTTGAATAAGCTTTATTTAGCTTCTATAGTTCCTCAGGACACATAGGATAAAGGATATAAGAAAAGATGCTGGTAGAACATAGTGTTAGGCACTTCAGATCATCCAGGATTATCCATTCCTTAATGTAGAAAATTACCAAAAGACTCAGCATCAAAAAGAATAACCCAGTGTTAGCATTCCTTCAACAATTGTCCCTAGTTAATTGGTTTATTGGTTTAATGTCCTTGCATTAGATCATGACATTAATTTAAAAAAACCTGTATAATAATCTTGGGTCCAATATAATGCAATTACAACAACTCCTTAAGAAAACTACAGGGACATTATGTTATTTATATAAACCCTTTATAATCACAGAATATAATCTTATAATATAATGTAATCTTGTATCCAATACAATGCAACTACCACAACTCTTTCAGAAATCTATAGGGATATCAAGTTATTTATATAAACTCTTGGGATCATAGAATGCATCTTAGTTAATATACAAGAGCTTACTGGTTTGCTATCCTCTCAAGTAATTAATAATACTTTCTAATTTTAACCCCACATAAAATAAAACTGAAGATGGATTATAATTTCCACTGCTCCAAATCACATTCATATATTAAAGGGGTTAGTAAAATGCTTTCAAGCTAAAAT